GGACCCCCCCCCCCCCCCCCCCCCCCCAGACAGACAAGGGATGGTAAAGAAATAACATGATTAGAGAATGTCCAACGAGTGGTGAGTAGTCAGAAGATTCCCGAAAAGCGAATATAACATTCACAGAGTGCACCCTCTGGGGAACCAATTTAGACTCATTCCTGTGAACTCTAGGCTACATGCATACTTGTACATTAAGATTTTTATTTCTATGTAGGGAATTCACCATTTCAGACCAACTGCAATGTCTTTCTTGACAGAAAAAAAACAATTTACAAAAAATGTGTGTACGACTTATGACTAAACGATTATGGTGGGCTTGATAATGTTGAGTTTTGTACTTACCATTGCCTGTCACAAAAAGAACACCAAACACTAGCATTTTTAAGGTCTTGACAACCAGAAACTTTCCTAGAAAGTGTACACGACAAGAACAAATACTTAAAAGACAAATACAGTAGAGACACCTTCCATTAAGACGAGAAATGATAAACATTCCTCGACTACCATGACCTTCAATTTCAACGTTGACAGAATATTTGGCAGATTAGAAGGTCCTATGGATAGCCCTCTCTGGTCATAACAATAAGAGGAGCTCAACTCACTTGAGGCGTTGCTCTTATATGCCCCCCCCCCCCCCCCCCCCCCATTTGAAAAATAAATTATCTTGTAAGTGTTTTACACCCCCATCGACACATTTATGTATCAATTAGGAGACAGGCTGCTTCGACCCAATCTGTCCCATTCGACGGACGATACACAGATTTTTCACACCTCCGCACTTACACACTCATAAACTCTTAGATAGATAGATAGATAGATAGATAGATAGATAGATAGATAGATAGATAGATAGACGGGCGGTTCTTTCACTGGACAAGACCGGCGGCGTCGATCGCTTTTTGTCGACTAGATAGAGGACAACAAAATGATTTCTGTTAACACTTTTCTTCTTTGTTTTAGTAAGGTTTTACGGCGCTCGCAACTGCATAGGGTGATGTGAGCGTCAAGGGGTGGATGTCAACAGAGAAGTCCAAACAGGGTCTGCTCGACTATCAAGGCACCCCGGAAATACCAGTTCATAAGACTGACAAACATACAAAAGAAGTAGGGGAAAAAATGACGATTAGTAATTAGGATGAGGAAACAAAAAGCTGCAGTTCTCCCTATGTTGTTCCGGCACAGGATGAACATGACACTGATAAATGAGCCCCACTTACAATTCTATTGTGCATAAGGACATGTTAATGTCACCCCCCCCCCCCCCTTTGGGAATGGCCTAAAGGGCCCGAAGACACTTCAGCCAGAAGGACTGTCCTGGGGGGGGGGGGGGAGGGGGGAGGACTCTTTCTTCAGTTTCAAGTAAGTCCAGACATATAACTTATCAACGTTTAAAAAGCACTTTGCGGCTAAAGGCGCTCAAAGAAACAAGAGGGGTTCGCTGTTGCGTTGTAGCACTACAGAAACTTGTTCCTTCATCTCTGTTTTTTTAAATAATTATTTCATCAATAATATTTACCATTCAACCAGCCTCTTACTCTAATTATTACTATCAGTGCAGTGCAGCTATTGCTTGTGACTGTAGCTCCAATCTTTGTAGCCTATTGAATTTTAAGTTACCCATTATTATGCTTGGTGTTCTATTCGTTGAATACTTCCGTGAGTTGCTTTACCTGACCCAGACGCCAGGCCAGCTGTGACGAGGACCGAGCAGTGAGAATAATAACAGAGGACACTTTTACGAAGAGAGAGGCACCTTGTTCGGCGGACACTCACTGACAGTCTGGGCTAAACCAATACCATCACCATCCTTGCTCCTCTAATCACCCCTTTTCCACTCTCATTGCAGCCAGACTCTAATTTCTACGTATAATCACATAGACAACACACTCTATGGAACATTACAGCAACTGCAGCAGACCTGCACTTATCACTACATGGCATTGGACAGAAGGACAAGAGCCCAGCTGTTGCTGGATCGATAACTACGTACAATCAGCATTTGACACAGTTCTA